GGGTAGGACTAGGTAGGGACAATTGCAAGCTGGTGTGGTGGGGACACACCGGTGAGGGCCTAAGACAGACACCTTCAGAGCGAGGGCAAGGAGTGTAAAAGCTGTTGTACAGTACAGCACCCACACCATACATACATACATACATATACATGCTGGAGTGCATGTCTTCCCAGCATCTCGAGAGGCCTTTTTGGTGGCCAGCTAATACATACACATACACTGGGGGGATGGCTGCAGTCTGCTTCAGATCAGGCCTATATACTGCCAGCCATCATGAGCCATACCTCCTGTATGTCTGACCAGTACAGCGAGTACTTCCAGTGTAAACCCCTGTCCCTACCAACTCATAGGGGGTCTAACAGCGGCTAACTTCTTAGGCGGGGCTGTCAGCCGGGCTCATTATCAGCTGCTGACGATAGTTGTCAACGTGGCATAACAGCCAGTTAGACACTGGGTTAGAGGCTGTTTGGTCCTGTTAGGCCCTGTGACTGACATGTACCTGGAGCCCACACTGTTAACAGTTGTCTGATTCTAGGGACTGTTAGCAGCTGTAAGGACCTGTAACAGAGCGCTTTCTGCCACAACAGGATATTGTTGACAGGATGTTACATTCTGGTTGGGTCACCCAGATGCTGAGAAAGAATTTTTGACGGCTGTTAGGTTTTTTTAAGTTAACAGTTGTCTGATTCTAGGGACTGTCAGCGGCTGTAAGGACCTGTAACAGAGCACTTTCTGCCACAACAGGATATTGTTGACATGATGTTACATTCTGGTTGGGTCACCCAGATGCTGAGAAAGAATTTTTGACGGCTGTTAGGGTTTAGGGAAGGTAATTGTTAGCAATTGTTCAATTCACTTAAGTTGTTAAGCGGTGCCAAGGGCTGTAGTTGCTAACAGGCGTTGAAAGCTGTTACGAGCAGGGACATGCTGAAAGGAAGTTCCATCATGTTACTGGCTGTTGCCATTACATAATTTGCTGAACTGCTGTTTAAGGATTTTACTTGCTGTTTTGAGGTTCAGACGCTGTAAATGTTATGAGCTTTTACATGATCCCTGTCCATTGTTAAATCACACCTTTCCTTTTTTTGGATATCTCTCTGACTTCATTATTCATGCCATCAGCATCTATTTGCCATCATTGGGGATAGAAGCTTGTACTGCATGGGTAGGCACAAAACCACATTCGTCAGGAATTATATACATAAGTATGTATTATACACAACAGTCTGGGTCGCCCTGGTCACCTCACTTGCTCATCATGTGGAATTGTGCAGTATAGTGCACAGCCAGCTGGCCTGTACCTGTACAGGCATCTATTGTCTCTATTCTTTACAAGTCTGGAGGCTGCTACCAAAATCATCACAGCAACATCAGTACCTTGTCTTGGCATGCAATTATACATACATAA